AAAGTGCTGGGATTACAGTCGTGAGCCAGTGCACCCGGTTGAAATTCACCCTTTTAAATGCACAAGATTTTTAGTATCTTAACAGAGTTGTATATCCATCATGCTAAGTAACTTTTTAAAAGTCATTTTAAACACACTTCAAGTTCAGATGTGGCTTCCAGAGTTCCTTCACTTGTGCTGAAAACCATTCACCCAAAAGCCACCTGGTAAGAGAATGCTCATAAAGTCAAAGAACATTCCATCAGTAATGCTGCATTACTGTACAGCTCAATTCAAAGTAACTTTAAAGGCTGGGCTTCCTGGAAGCTGGTCCTTTATCTCACTTTAGTTTAACAAGGTAGGACAGCCTAACTGGTCACTCTGCAAAGGCTCTCCATGCTCCTTTAGGATCTGTCTAAGTGGGTCTGCATGTATCCTGGGGATGAGGACACTGGTTTCTTTACAACAGTGCTTCAAGATTGTAATGCCTCTCTCATTAAGACAGATTCTGATTCAAGAGATCTGGGGGCAGAGCCTGGATTCTACAAGCTCCCAGATCATGCTGTGCAGCTGGTTTCCAGATGATACTTGACGTAGCAAGGGTCTACAGAGGTTAGGACGCAATCAAGTCGACAAACTAAGGAAGAGAGACACAGGTATCCTCTGAGTCTTGGGGTCAAAGATGGAGTAGATTAGTGAGAACAGGATAGCGCGGAGTCTCTGGAATACAGAAGACGCTGGAGCGTGGTCCATTAGAGAAATAGATCTAAAAACCAAAATCTAAGATCTTTTCATATACACCAAAGATCAACCCACTTCTCAAGCGAAAGCATCCTTTCCCATTCCTTTAAACAAAGTTCTTGTTCTTCTTCTCCTTGATAAAAACATCATTTTTGCTAGATTCATGACAGTGTTGAGTAGCTGTCTAGTGGAAAACACACGCCAACGATGCTGCTAGTGTCTCCTGTTGAAGAGAGTATAAAGAGAAACACCACACTTGCCTTTAAAAAGTCTGGAAAAGACCGACATGTCATCGGCATTAACAAACAGAATAATCGGGCACCAAATGGTTTCTGAAAATCTAACATGCATTCTGTAACTGTTCAGTGATTTATGTGAAGTCTGACCTTCAGGGGACTAAACGAATGAGCAAACCAT